CCCGCCCCCCGTACCTCACCCGGGGGAACTGCGATCCCCCGCAATCCCCCCCACGAAATGACCTCTGCTCAAAAGCCAGTCGAATCCAACTCTAGGGGGCCAAACAAACACCCTAAAGGAAGTGCAGGTGTATTTCCACACTTCTGTCAGAGAGGAGGAAGCTTGCCAAAGAGGAATAAAGGTACTGGGGAACGTAATCTCAAGGATCTTTTTCCTCTTGCAAAGAACCTAGGAATCCTCCCAGCATTCCGGGCTATGAACTACTACGTCCCACTCTTCCCATCAGAGCAAGTTTGGTGTAGTGTTTAAGAGCGGCAGGACTCTCATCTGGAGAACTGGGTTCAATTCCCCACTCCTCCATATATAGCCAGCTGGGTGACCTTCGGTCAGTCACAGTTTTCTCGGCCCAAAATATAAACCTAGTTTGCCACAAAAAAGAGCTGGCGTTTCAGGCTGCCAGACAATCTTTGGATCTCCTGGCTATATGACACCCACTGCCATACGATAATTAATTAACAGGAGGAGATTGGGTTTTTACCCTGCCCTTCATTTGGAGTCTCAGAGTGGCTTACGATCTCCTTTCCCTTCCCCCTCCCCACAATAGACACCCTGTGAGGTAGGTGGGGCTGAGAGAGCTCTTTCAAGGACTGCTGTTGAGAGAACAGCTCTGAGAGGACTTGTGGCTGACCCAAGGTCACACCAACAGCTGCATGCGGAGGAGTGGGGAATCAAACCTGGGTCTCCCAGATTAGAGTCCGCGCTCCTAACCGCTACAGCAGACTGGGAGTCTTGGCCTGCTCTAGCTGGCAGCAGCTCTCTCAACACCTTCTCCAGTCCCAGCTACCCGACATCCTTTAATTGGAGAAGCCAGGGATTGAACATGAGAACTCCTGTATGCAAATCAGGTGCTCTGACGCTAAGCCCCAGCCCCTTCCTTAGCCTGGCGGGGAAGAAACGACCTATTCCACACTTACAGACGCCATTTACGCTCACAAGGAGCTGTGACATTGAGTCAGAACGTTGGTCCATGCCGTCCACTGTTATCAGCTCTGACTGGGTTTTCAGGGTCTCAGGCAGAGAAACGTCTTTCCAAGTACTGGATGCCCAAGATCCTTTCAACTGGAGACGCTGGGGATGGAACCGGGGACTTTTGGCAAGCCGAGCAGAAGCTTTGCTACTGATCTCTGCTACCCAATCCTGGCCCCCCATAACAGCTGCTGCAAACAGCTTAACACCGCTGTCTTCTCAGGTTCACCCAAGTTATTGCCCCCCCCCCTGCATCTCCTGCTGCTGGTCAGAAGGAACTCTGGAATCCTGGCCACCACCATCCTGCTAAGTGATACCACGCTATTACACCCAGCACCCTCTCACCCCAAAACCCCCTGGAGGCCTGGCCGACTGGAGCCATCCTTCCCTGCCTTAACTGAGACCAGAGCTGATCTTCTGCACAGAGTCATGACCTGGTGGGGAAACAGAGGGGAAAATATGAGGAAAGATCTGACAGATCCATGGCAACATTTTTTGGAGCTGACACTTGGGTTGCCTCAGCAACGAGATCGCTCCCCGTGTCATTTCCTCGTGGAGATGAAGCGGGCCACCGTTTCACCAAGTTATTCTTTCCGTCTGAGCCTGCGGTAGGATCTCCCAGTTGCGAGGAGCAACTGGGAGAGGGGCTCGAGGGTGTCCTGCCTCAGGGAGTCCCCAGCGTCTCCCCGCTCTGAAATGGATGCGTGCCGGGAACGGAGAGGGAGGGCCGGGGAAGGAGTGCCTTCTGGAACCAGGCGGGCTAAGCGATCTCTGCTTAGAGACACCTGGGCTTGTTGATGGTGGGGGAAATTGTGTTTTCACAGCTTTGTGGGCAACCCAATAAAAGGAAGTAAACACACACCCCCCAGGCCTTGATGACTCAGGTGCAGTCTGAGGGTGTTTGATTAAATCCTCTTTTCTTCTGCATATTAATCCTCATTGATGCAATAGAAAAGAGCCAGAGTCCAGCAGCACCTTAAAGACTAACATTTGAGGCAGGGGAGGCGCTTTCGTGAGTCACAAAGTGAGCAGGGATTCATGAAAGCTCACACCCTGCCACAAGTTTTGCTAGCCTTTAAGGCAGGGGTCGTTTCGTAGAAAAAGAGGTGCAGGAG